ACGATTTTCAGAATTACAGCGAAAATTCTCTTTTCCATTTGTTTAACTAGAGAGAATTACAGCGATAATTCTCCCATGTTATTGTATACATGGTTGTCATGCTAATTTTTGATACAAACAAACGATTCCTGATAGCAACCATTTATTTGTATTGATTATTAAGATATTCAAATAGTTTAATACCTATTTATTTCCATATTTTTTGCATTCTCATACGTGAAATAATCCGCTAAATACCACTTGAGCTTTGAAATGAACCAGATAATTTTTCACTCATGCGTGTTTTCTCTGCAAATTTCACTCGTCCTACGGACTCGTGAAATTATAGAAAACACGCAATCGTGAAAAATTATCGGTAATTTTGAAGCTCTCGTGGTATTATCCCCGACTATTACATGTCTCAAAATAAGTGTGCTGGAGTACATTCCCAAGAAAAACCCCGAGAAAGTCTCTTTTTTAGTGAGCATTTACACCTGACACCAAAGTAGTATGCGACGTGCGACTTGCTGCTAGGAAGCAGAAAGCACGAAAACTATCAAAATATAAAAAACGTGTTGTCTCGTCGCATTTTTGCGACGCCACTCCGGTGTGAAACCTGTCATTTATTTCTAAAGGTTCCAAAATAAAAAATAAGTAACTTGTTTTTTGCTTCCTAGCAGCAAGTCGCACGTCGCATGCTACTTTGGCGTGAATGCTCACTTTAGGGATAGATGTAACATGTAACCCTTTTTTAAAAATTCGATAATTTGAGTTATAGCTAATTTTTGAAAAATTTGAGTAACTAGTGTAAGGTACTATAACATACCCGGGTTCATTCAGTAGGATTGAACTGTGTGAATTTTTATTACCTTTTAAATAACAAATGTTCTGAAAATCGAAATGAAAAATAAAGAGGACCTACGTTGTGGAAACTTACTCAATTTTACTTACTGGTCATGCGCCCGACATAGCAAATATTTGGGAAATTTAAGGGAAGTTGTGATATGTAAAAGAAACGAAAAATTTGTGAAACGTCTACTTTATTATTAAAGTAAATCGTACCGTTCTCAGAGCAAGGCAGAGAAACCCTCGATCTAACATTCCTCAAAAATCGAAACATACTGTGTCATTTTAATAATAATTGTGAGTCATTAATTCAATAAAAGTTGGAACTAGGTACCGCCCCTGTTCTTGTGCTAAAATTTTAATTACACACACTACATTCAATCAACACTACCTATATTGAATACTGTAGAGTTTTTTGTTAGTTAGCCAGTTTCCTAGCAGGTACTGAGGTCCCATATGGGAAGCTACTCAGCTATAGTTGTTTTTGAGCCAATATCTCCAGATTGATTATTTCAATTTGCTAGGATATTCTCTCGTCAGGGTAGGAGAATGTTAGTAAATTCAACAAGGCCTTAATGTACGCTCTATATCCAAAAATCAAAATCCCAGCACAAAAAGACAGGACATCATTTTTCTAGGCTTTAATTTACACATGAACACACATGAACAATGCACATGTTATAAAACATGTAATAAACAAACAAAAAAGCATATAAAAATGAAAAATAGTAATTTTTGTATCAACTGCGCGAAATGTCATTTTCATTCACCAAAAACATTTCGCGCCCGAGTTGCAAACAATATTTTTTCTACAACTCTATTCAAATATCGATCATTCGAAGCCAGAATTGCATTTCCAATCAAAGGCAGGTGAATTTCAATTATTTTTTGGCATCCTGACAGGTATGTGTCACCATGACACCAGTATGCGAACTAGCTATTTCGTACACTAGAGTGCGAAATAGCTAGTTCGCACACTGGTGTCATGGGAACGTTAAGAAATCAATACCTGGGAAAAAAGTGTCATTTCGCAAACTGTCATGAGTGTGCGAACATCATCTTTTTTTGACAGTTGTAGAAAAAAAATTATATTTGTATAAATAATTGAACTTTCGAAAACAATAACAATTATTCAACTAACCTGGCATCGCTCCTTGACACATACACTAATAACAAATTGGATTGAACAATCAGTTTAATGCAAAATAAAAATAAAAATTGAATAATGAATAATTACAGACACGCGTCTAAGGTAACCAGCCCAGCTTGTTCTCTAGTCTAGTTGCGTATGTATTCTCTATCTCCCGTTCGGTACCTACCCTTTCAGTACGCTTCACGGCGCATACAAGGTTGCAACATTTACTTTTATTCAGTAAACGTTTTTTTAAAAAGTTAAGATTTGAATAAATAATTTTTTTTCTTATTGATAACCTATTTCACTTATTTAAAGTACTCCTCAGCGTGTTTAAATCCAACATTCAAAAACGCGCGTGTTTTAAAGTTACCAATGACAACATCAACAACCAACAACCCGAGAAAGGTCTAAATGTCAACTTTTTAATTATTGATTTGTCCGGAGTAGGTTAGGTACTTGTAGATAACGTCAAATAAAATGTAACGAGTGTCAAGCACAAGTTTAGCTTCTACAATTATTATTAGTCATTTATGATTTGAACGTATACCAATTAAAAAAAATAGTGTAAAGTATTCGTGGATAACTGGTCTTTAAAACACTTGCCCTATTTCGAGCACTCGGCTGCGCCGTCGTGCTCGAAAAATCGCGCGTGTTTTAAAGACCTTAATATCCACTCATACTTTAATATACTATTTTTTCATTGATAACCTATTTTACTTATTTAAGTAAAATAAATTCCTCAGCGTGTTTAAATCCAACATTCAAAAACGCGCGTGTTTTAAAGTTATCATGACAACATCAACAACCCAAGAAAGGTAGGTAAAGTCTAAATGTCAACTTTTTGATTATTGATTTGTCAGGAGTAGGTACTTGTAGACAACGTCACATAAAATATAACAAGTGTCAACGAATTTAGCATTCTACAATTATAGGTTTTTTACGTTATATTTAGGATGATGTCATAGAACAAAAAGAGACAATCAGGCCTATGATGTATCATTTTCCGTTATTTTAACAGCAACGTTAAGTTCTCTATCACTGTTTATTCTATACGTCAAAATAGAGAGAAGTATAGATGTTGAGCTATAACATAGCTGTTAAAATAACAGGAGTGGATACATCATAGGCATGAATCAGGCCTATGATGTATCATTTTCCGTTATTTTAACAGCAACGTTAAGTTCTCTATCACTGTTTATTCTATACGAAAAAATAGAGACAGCAATAGATGATGAGCCATAACACAGCCGGGTAACTAACAGGACTGGATACATCATAGGCCTGAATGTTGTCAATGCCTATTTTTTTTCTTATAATTTATCAGAATGTCACGTGATAGTAGACCTATCTATTTTACCAACCAAAGAGGTAATAATACGAAAACTTCATTAGATAAAAAAAGACACAGAACGCTCATTGCGCGAGACGAGGCAAAATGTACCAAATTTTGTTAAACTTACGTATGGCAATCCATCCTCCTTATTTGCACGGGATAGAAAAAGAAGAAGAAAAACCGCGTGTTTTGCAACGTATATTTATCAATGAAAATTTCAAACTTCTTTTGAGTGGCACTTGTCAAGCTATGTCAAGTTGAATATCAACCGTACTTTTATTTTTGTCAGACCACGAGCAATGAACAAGGACAAGGAGATGTCCAGCGTGCAAAACGAAGACTTCACACCTGTTCTAGTTAGCTAATAAAAAGACTTGCCTCATGTTACGCGCATAGCAGGTAAAAATAGATAGGTCTTTTCTGTCAAACGAAACGGAAAATAGGTAATTTACTTACATGCCTCACAGCAGTAAGAAGCAAAAATGGTCGTGTTCCGGTTGGAAATACGTTATTAAGTATACTACCCTTTCCTGAGGCCGACTCCGACAAACCTGCTGGCATTTTCTGAGTAAGTTTACGCTACGAAGAAGTACTGAATTCTTGAAAGAACTTTTTTCTAACTGTAACGTATTTTTGGCACTTAATTAGAATTATACAAAATAGTTAATAATAAATTATCAAGATGACTGACAGCTTAAAATAACGAAATGAATCGACACGCATTATTTGAAAATGTTTATATAAATCATGCAACGTCGCGCGCCGTTGCCAACTAAAAACATCTGAAATTGCCCTACTTTAAATGCGTTGAAAAGTACTTTTAGTTTTGTTAGGTTGGCAGCAGAAATTTACTAAATGTGACGTCATCCTAAATATAACGTAAAAAGCCTATATTAGTAATTTTTGATTTGAACGTATAGTACCAATAAAAAAAAATAGTGTAAAGTATTCGTGGATAACTGGTCTTTAAAACACTTGCTGAAAAATCGCGCCTGTTTTAAAGACCTTAATATCCACTTATACTTTAATATACTATTATATAGGTGGTTTTCCTCACTAGGTACTTTTCTTAGGATAGTCCAAAAATCAAAAAGATGCATAGAAAAATTTCCAAGATCAAAATTGATAATCTGACATAGCCCCAAACTTTGCTCTCCCTGTATAAGTGAATAAATGAGAGAAATATACCGGTCGAACCCTGTACATGTTCTGAAAGAGTTGGCCAAGAATCTCCCGAATACCGCAACTCGATCTCTTTCCGTTCCGAAAATATCGAGATTTGAACTTGAGTAAAATTTACGCCTGCGAACATCCTGGGTTTTAAAAAACTTTATATTCTACATAACATAAATAACTTCAATAAATAGGAATCTTTTACTGGTGGACACAAAATACTTCTTTACTACCGAACTACTCATCTATACATATATTATCAGACTCCGCCTTTCGGTCAACTGTGTGCGATAAAGTTACACTTTCCAAAATGCCTTGAAAATCTTGCATTCAGGTTTGTTGCCTCCAAGAAAAAATGCATCCAAACTCTTTCGCGAGGTCTTGTGATGATTCGCGATTTTACTTAAGTGTTAACCGAAATCCAAACTCATCCACAGCCCCGGATAATAAACGTTGATGTAATGGAATATCTTTATTTAGCTCTATTGTCTGTTGATAAACCAAACTGATTCAAAATATCGATTTCGCTTTCAGTCCACTACAGGTGAACCAGCAGTTTTGTGGATATCAGGCCTGCACATTCCAGAGACTTATTTGGCAGCCTTAGTGCAGATTTCTTGTAGATTGCATAATTGGCCACTGGATAGATCTACACTCTACACTTACGTTTCTGAGCATGTAGATCCTGCAGATGTTATTTTACGACCAGCTGCGGTAAGTTTTTTTTGTTTCAACCCTTATTTGAAGCTCTAAAGACTTTTTTAGGGTAATTGTCTCCTGCACGGTCTCTACTTAGAAGGAGCAGCCTGGGACGTTGAAAATAACTGCCTGAAGAAATCAACCCCGAAAATTCTCATTGAGAAACTTCCAGTATTGGGAGTGGTGCCTATAGAATCGTTCAGATTAAAGCTCCAAAATACTTTGAAGACTCCAGTGTATACTACGTCATTAAGACGAAACGCTATGGGGGTTGGTTTGGTTTTTGAGGCTGATTTGAGAACAACAGAACATATAAGTCATTGGGTGTTGCAAGGAGTGTGTTTAGTGTTAAACACAGACTAAGATTAAACTGTGTTGAATTTGATAAAAAAAGGGATAGTATTTTGAAAAAAAAAGATACCTAACCAAAAGGAAACAATTAAGTTATAAACGCGCAAAAGACGTTAGACCATATGTGTTTGTAGCAGTTTACTTCAAAGACTGAAAGCTATATAAGCTGTAGTTTTAAGAGTTTTTCATGTGTTATTTTGAAACTAGTTTCCAAGACTGAGTTAAGTTTGTCATATTTTACTGTAAGGTGTTCTTTGTATTTCTTTGTTACCTGCAATACTTTCTAAATAAATAATCCAACTCTGTGTTTTCCTTTTTTTTATTTATTTACAATTTAGTACAATATTACAAAGTGATGGTTTTTGGAAATGCGCCTCGAACTGAAAAGTGGAATAATAAATTTGACATCCGCACATAGTCGAATCTACCATTCAAAACTTCCAGTTGTTTCAATTCGTCTTTTTAACATCTTTGACTTCTCCTTCCTTGATTTGTCCTTTTCCGAAAATCTTGGCCAAACTATCCCAGATTCCGCCAAAGAACAGGGCGCACATTAGGTTTTCGAAGGGAATAAAAGGGTCGTGGATTCCAAGGATTATTGAAGACAGTTTAAAGTAGACGAAAAAGATGACTATACCGAAATAAACCAAAGCATGGGGAGCCGAAATAATTTCAGTTTTTTTGTCTAGGATGAAGATTATCGACGCTACTAGACAAGATTTTGTGTAGCTGGAAAAAAAAATTAGTTAATAATAAGGTAGTCAAGGAAGTCTTAGTTAATAGTTTTGGAACCGGTTGACAAATGTCATAAGGAAACGCATGGACGAGTTTACGGTTCTGTGATGGTATTGTTAATTAAGTGTACCAAAGGACCCCGCACACTTCTTATGGGATTTCTGACCGCGGTCAAATTTAACAAAATTTCAGCATGTTATAGATCTCACCTTTCTGAGCAATAGCTACCATGGGCACAACTCAATCCTATGACTAGTTTTTGAGATACAGGTAGTTTAATGTCCAAGAAATGCACACATTTTATACGCATTTACATCTACCGGTCACCTGAATGTCAGGATACCTGTCCTTCCTGATATTATTAGGTGACAGGTAGATGTAAATGCATATAAAATGTGTGCATTTCTTGGACATTAAACTACCTGTATCTCAAAAACTAGTCATAGGACCCCCTTTGTGAGAAAGTTTTTCTTCATACTGTAATAGGTTGAAATTTATTCTGGTTCTGGTTATAAAACTACCTGAACTTTAAAAAACCTTGGTATAAAGAGTTTCCAAATCCAATATTACTGATTTTGAGAAAATGAAGAAAACATTTACTAAAAATTGATCAGCGAATTGACTTATGATACCATACTTGAAATTGAGCGCATCTTCTTTCCATAGCTTTTCCTTATTGGCAATAATTATTGTCTCAAACGAAGAATTATTTCGAAATAAAAAATGAAAACTACTTACAAACTGGGTTGCATAAATTCCATAGCTGTCGGCGTCCATACTCCTCGAATGAGTCGTTCCATCAGTCTTGTGAATCCAGCACCGTTGCCTTTGAGTGTTCCAATTATTATCATGATTAAATAACCGCTAGGATATAGTTTGGCTGCGTGAGTGACACCATCGTAGACTTTCTTGCATCTGTAGATTTCCTTCATTGCTGAAAAACCTATTTTGACTGGTAGGAATTTCGATAGTTTGTAGCCGACATCGAAAGGTGTATAGAACACCGCATACCTGCAAAAAAAGTTTTAAAATGAAGACACCAACGCAACTGATATTTTTCTTCGAAGTTGAACCAAACCAAAGCAAAACCTCATTGATCGAGCATTATGTGCTGGCGATGGACACTCGATGTGGTTAGTGTGTCGTCGACAGATTTCGGAGATTGTGCACAGTTTGGCAACATGGGAAGAAACTATCCTGATTATTTCAATTGCCTCTTCCAATCTACCAATCCGATACAACCATTCCACTGCTTCTACACATCCTTTGTCACAGAGATTCAATTGCCAAAGGAGAATCTAGTGTTTTGATGTTAGAAGCTTCCCACAAGATGCTGCATTTGGTATATCTTGAGCTTTAGACAATAGGTTTGTTTCTGCAGAAATCACAAACCAGTCAGAGCGAATTGCATTAGTTGAAAACAGTCAGAAAACTAATTTCGTCTAATTCGTCTAATGAAATTCACTCTGACTGGTTTGTGTAGTGTTCTCAAAATATACCAAATGCAGCATCTTGTGGGAAGGTTCTAACACCAAAACACTTGATTCTCCTTTGGCAATTGAATCTTTGTGATAAAGAACGTGTAGAAGCAGTGGAATGGTTGTATCGAATTGGTGCTTGGTCTAGGTCAAGGTTGTATTGGCATGGTGGTATTGGCTGCAAGCTTGTTGAAATTGATATAGCTTGGACAAAGACTTGAGCTTTGTCAATGAAAGCAGCCGATCTGCCTGCTGAGTGCGCAATAACTGTGTATGAACACGAGAACCAGGCATGGTTTACAACAAGAATAATTACGGAACTCAAAATCGAAAAAAAACCTATCGGTGATTTGGCTTCAATAAACGGAAGATTGGCTGATTGATTTCAGACAACTTGAATTATTTGCCAACAATATACATACAACCCTACCATGAAACAAGCATCAGTCCTGCAAATTTTTAAACCTGAAGAAATAAGAAAATACTTGCGGATAGACTGGAAAATTGTGATGGACCAAAATCTTTACTGCAAGGCTGTTGACCCCTATTATGGGCACATCAACAAGAAGAATCATGGCGAATCTTTCCAATAATGGGGAGTTTCCATACAATCTGCAACCTTCTATCTTGGCATACTTTCTGGCAATTCCTGACCTCGAGATCTAGCCGTGGAATCTGGTATAATAGAGCTCTATCGATAAAGATCTTGTTGGTAAGCACTGCAGTTATACATTTCGCCTACACAACCTCGTGTATAGTGTATACGTGGATAAAGCCTTTATGAAAGTTCTGCATCCTGGGGTTCTGGAATATGAGGACTTACATATGCTATGCCTTTTCTACGACTCTCAATGCCTGATTTCTCTCGGACATCTAATAACTCTGTCCTTCAAAATGAACCTTTTCAAAGTATTTGACAACTACTTGACACTGCAGTGGCGTAACTAAGGGCCCGCAGTTGCGGGGGGGCCCCGTGATCTTAGGGGCCCCGCGGGGCCCTAGGCCAAGCGACAAGAAAATACTAAACTGGCGACAAGAATAATAATTACTTAACTAAAAGAAAATACTTTAACCTAACCTATGACCCTCATAATACATACCAACCATTGAAAAAGTATGTCTAACCAATGTAAGAGATCTCAGAGAGAAATGTTTAGACATACAGATGCAAAATCAACTGGGGCCGTTTTAAATGATATACTACTATTGCTATCTCTGAAACGGTAGGAGTAAAGAAGTCGGGTCAATTGAACAAAAGTGGCAGTAACCCATGGAGATAAGTTCACAGGGTTGCCAACTAAAAGCCGTGTGGAGATAACAATGACGCCACTCTGTAGAGAAGAAAGAATCTTGAATATTTTGTATAAACACTTTTTTCTAAAGCTGATAGATTTTGAAATATTCATTAAATAAGTTTAACTTTTTTTGGCATTTCCCCTTATAGTCCGAGAGCCAGCGCCAAAAGGTGCAAGAATGAAAGCTGAAAATTTAATATAAGCTTGTATTTGTGATGTATATAACTATACTCGAGTCAGCAAGTGAGGTAGCGGGACAATAAGCTACGCCCACGCACCTTTGAATGTGTAAAAAAATAATCGCGATGAAAGAGTTTCATGACAGCTGAAAATCTCTCAATCCATTGTTTATTTGATAAAAAACATGACGGACATGGTCAGATAGCATTATGTTAGGACAACTAGAGTCAGCATGCCTATACAGGGTGGACCATTTAACTTGAAACTCTTGCACTTTTTTGGCGCTGGCTGTCCGACCGTGTATAATACACGGTGTTTCACGAACAAAGTAACAGAGGAGTTTTGGGGTATTTTGAGGTTGATTTAAAAAAAACGCTCGGACAGGTCAATTTTGTATTCAAGGGGGAAACTTTTTGACCCCATCGGTATTTCGCTAGGGTGCACCTCCTGGGTGTCTTTTACCACTCGTTTTTTGATAGAGAAGATAGGTCGAGTGGTACCTGGTTTGAAAGCTTTTTCGATTCTTGTCATAACCGTGTACTTTTTTTGAAAATCGAATGATTAGTTCTCAAGATATTCACTATCAAAGTTGCCATGGGCTTAATAGAAAACAATCTTCTGGCCCTGTTAT